AAAAATAATTAAAATTTAAAAATAATTAAAAATTTAAAAATGTTTCCTCCGCTCCCTCGGGCTACAGCAGAAGCCCAAGATGAGGTGGGGAAAAGCATGTCCATATTCAAGGGACATAGCTTCAACACAACCAAGGCACTAAATATAGTATTTTGGATAATACAGCTGATGACTGCAACTGGCATTTACAAAGAATGAAGCAAAAATACTAAGGATCAAATACTGTTAATGGCATTCTTAGTATATGAAGCAAGTCAGCCCAGAACAATTCCCACAATACACAACGGCTGTATTTGGATGCAGAGCTAATGACTACCATATTTTAAGTGCAACCTTGCCAAAACTGGTACTGTCTAGATGAGTTGGACTACAACTTCCATTGACCATGCTGGTTGGGCATGATGGAAATTATAGTCCTCGCTGCTGCCCCTGTTCTGATGGAGCAGGAGGCTGGAGAGGTAAGGATGGGGTGGTTCTGAGGTAAGGGCTTCTTTCCGAGTGAGGGGAGTTGAGGGAGGAGGATGTGGCTGGCCGAACAGGTGCCTCCCTCCTCTCCCTGCTGTGGGTGAAGAAGCATGACGGCCGCTTGGTGGTGGCAGCCTGCCCAGAGAAGGCTGCAGCTCCCATGCCTCTGCCGCAGCCTTCTCTGGGTAAGCCACCACTGCTGTAGAACAGCTGCCCCCAGGCTCGGTGAGGCAGCTGCAGCTTGGCCCGCAGCCCGGGGACGTGGCTCACATACTTAAAAATGGATTTAAAAAGTTATATTTTTCTTACCTTCAATTCTTTTTTAGTGTCTTTGTCTCTCCCTTTCTCTTCCGCCCTCCCCTCTTCTGTTTCCCACTCCATATTCCCACTCTGTATATGTGTGCAATTGGGGGGGGGGGGGGGAGCTGGCGCATGCGCAGTTGAGCTGTTACAATTTGGCAGGTGCATTGCCTCTCTGCTCAGTTTCAAAGAACGCCTGCACTGGCTCAGAGCTTTTGTACTCACTCGGATATCATTTTCTCCAGATAAATGAGCATGGTGGGTCGTATCCAGCCCACGGGCCATAGTTTGATGACCCATGCTGTGTAGCATCCTAGAATGGAAGACCTTTTGTCTAGTGGAGATGTAGTTGTCCAAGGCCTGCTCCCATTGCAGGGCATCAGAGAAAGAGAGCATTAAAGAGAAAGAGGCACATTTCCCTCCTTCCACCTGCAACACTGCCAGTCAATAGGGGAAAGGGAAGTTATGGGATTGATTGTACCAGAAGGTGTTTTGGAGATTGGGGACATCTGGCAGGGATGGGGGGAACTCTCTTTCAGCTCAGGTTTTGATTCAAGTTTGAAAAGAATCCAAAGGTTTGCAAAGCTCACCCTTTTTTAAAGAGGTAGAATTAGCAGCCTCAGAGTTTGTATCTGGAATTTTGAACTTCTCTGGCATCTCTACCTACTCCACTATCCACTTCACACAACAGTGGCGGGCAGGCTTCAAGCTTGCTGGAATTATTTTGGTTTTTACTAAGATCTACTAACTGAATCCTGGAAAAAGATATATGCTTTGATCTGAAGTATTTGGAGCCAAGGGATTTATTTTGAGAACCAGAACTGAACAAAGCTTACAGCCCTTCCGCATTAAAATCCACGTCTGGTTGCTGCAAGCTTTCTTCTTGCCCTAAACTGTAGGTCAAGAATGTGGGGGCAGTCATTTCATTGTTGCTACCCTTACACCAGTGGGACTCAGAAATCCTTACAGAGATGTCCTGATTTATCTAGCTGTAGCTTTTCTCCTTGCCCAGAATATAATACCCAATGCCATCACCACTTAGAGAGATTAACCTCTCTCTTGAGTGGGACCATTCTTGTTACAGTGGCTAAAACATTCCTTTTTCATTCACACTCAATTTCCTGCTCAGGTACAAATCTCACTGGGTCACCCTGGGCCAGCCTAACCTATTTCAAAAGGTAGCTGCATTGAGAAAACCCTGCTATAAACAGAAAAAGCAGGCCACAAATGAGATCAATGCATTCTGCTAAGGAGTTACTTTATAGTGCTTCTTATTATTTTACATTACATTTCTATACTGTCTGTAGGCAAAGCTTGTGGGGCAGATCAAAACATTTAAGTCACCCATCCAGATTTCAAACAGGCCATATTTGCTTAGCTTTCAAGATTAGGTAGGCTCAGGCACTTCAAGTTAGCATCATGGCCTATCTGGAAGAGGATTCCTCAGATAAAAGAGAACCAGGGCAATGGGCCCCAGCCACAGTCAGACACAGGGGTCGTGGCTGCAGATGGCTGCACTCCATTGGAGGAGGAGCCAGAACCCTCTTGGGCAGTCCCTGGGGATCCCCAAGAGCAGGAGGCAGAGGTAGAGGGAATTCACACCTTAGAAGAAGGAGAAGAGCATGGCTCCAACAGAGGTCCAAACAGCCTGAAAGGGGAGTTTTTTGTGAAACAGCCCACCTGCTTAATCAGTCACCTGTGCTGAGTTGCAGCGGGCTAAAATTAGTTCAGACAGAGCTGCTCTTTGTTGCAAACAAAAAGCATCGCTATCCATGTCTCTGATTTTGTAAAAACTAATCAATAGTTAGATTTCTGGCCTGTTTACTGGACATTGGTTTGATCATCCCCCCACCCCGACCCACCTGACTTGAAACTTTGGATGCACACAAACCACACAGCCTTGAATTTTGGACTGAAATGACTATTCCTAAGAAGGTAACACAGAGACTGGGCATATGTGGACACTTATTTCTGTAAAACTGACCATATTGTAAAGCTTTCTTGGAAAGGAAGATTAAAATTGTTCTGCATCACACCATGGACTATGTGAAGGCTAACCCTCCTTCAACAGCTCCTTGGGAAGAATGACTAACAAGCTGTGATGCTGGGGCAGAGAAGGAAGAGGGCTGGTCCCCCTTTAGAGAAACTGCTGTGCAAAGCTAAACTGTCTTGAGGCAAGTTCTCCAACTTCCCCTCCTCCCATGATTTTCATGGGTTACAGCAAGTGAAGATAACATGTTTTATAGCAAAGCTGTTACATGGTCTGCTATTGATTCTTTCTGATACAGTTGCACAACAGACTTGATTAAGCAAACACAAATCTGTGATAGATCTCTTCTTATTAAAGTGGATACATGCAATCAGTTTCTGTATCTTCACAGAATTTAGACAGTCATTCAGATGGTCTTTGCTAGGGTTAATTAGTTCCAATCTTCAGTCATGACACTTTATAGTGAAACCCTATATATGTCTACTGAGAAGTCAGTCCCACTGAAGGCAAAATGCTTACTCCAAAGTAAATGGGTAGAGGATTACAACTGCAGCTGCTGTGAAATTTTGCTGGAAAGTTTTTGGTTTCCACTTGGTAGTGTCCTTTAAAATCTCAGAAGAATTATAATGGAATTGTGGTTAATCAACACATTTCTGAAAGCACATAGAAGTACAAGCAGGCTAAGCAGAAACCAAATAAACTATCCTAAAGGCAGAATATTTTATTGATAATAAATAGGAATATGGCACTTTTGTGCCTTACAATATAAGAGGCTGGAACAGGCTGACAGTTAGGACTGTTATGCCAGACAAAGGTGCATGAAAAGAAGACAAAATGTAGGGGTACCTTTGCATTTCTTGGCAAGTTCATCTTTTGTTTTTGCTTTTTTAAAGACAAAAACAAATAGCAAATTAACTCTGTGAAGGAGATGATGATTGAACATGCTCTGAAATGTATCTACATAACAGATGGATTAAGGCAGTCTTCCTGAACTTGGTGCCTCTCCTCACCAGATAATTTAGACTATATATTGCAGCATTCCTGATCACTGTCCATGTTAACTGGTGCGGATGGGAGTTGAAGTCCAAAATATTTAGTGGGCTTCAGGTTAGGGAAGACTGCATTAAGGCATTTCATCAAGATCTGAAATGCCCTATTACACCAGTAAATTACACAAGTAAACAGAGTGCAATCTTATATTAATCTAGGAATTAACATGGCATAGGTCTGAGCAGATATGCCCTATAGGGTTATGCTGTGACTATAGTAGTTTTAGTTTTTAGATATTACCAGAAAAAGGACCATTCCAAATTAGTGTGTTGTCTCTTCAGCATAGTGAAGCCTCATTCCAGCCTCATTCTGTGGTGAATATTTTCCCCTTTCACAGGGTCAAAGCACCAACCCAAATTAAAAAGAAGCTAATCCTGGTTGCCAAAGGGCTTTCAAAGGCCCCATTAGTCCTGTTTCAGGGACATTTTATTTCAAAAAATCCAAATGCAGAGACAGCATTAGTCAGTCTCTAACCTATCATCCCTTGGCCTTATAATACCATTTTCCTGCCAGTAGATTCAAAATGATGACTGAATATGCATACCACAAAATTAGGATAATTTGAGCTAGTGTATAATCAGCTTCTGTATGGACATATTTTCTGACTCTGCACTGCTAAACTCATTTACTTGACCAGATTCTGTTTTGGTCCAGTATCATTTAATTGAAGCACGTATTGTTGAATTACATTAGGCTCATCATTAATAAGATGTTTTGGGGTAGGAGGATTGTTACCACAACCATCTAATACCTCATTTTGCAAAAGTAACCATTCTATTTTACCAATACTGTTTTAACACAGATATGTTCTTATTGTTTGGCTTTATATGAATTGCTCTAATTCTTTTTAGCTACCATTTCACTGCATACAAAAGTGAATTTTAGAAGTCTTTTCCTTTAAATAGCTCTGAATATATGCATATAAAATATATATCCAACATCTAACAGATTAAATGTGACACTTTATATTTATACACCCAATATGAAAGTATCATTAATAATGTATTTTTTTTACTGATTCTGTAAAACCATGTACTCTGGCATAGTTTCTGCCTGCTCACCTTGACTTTTAGGCATGGCATGTACATCCCATAAACCAAACAGCATACATTACCCTGCAGGCTACTTGCTCTGAGATTATGAGGGCTATCATGTCCTATAGAAAATGCATTCCAAATATCAATTGCCTCATTACCTTATCCTTTTTTTGCTTTTCATCCTGATATATGGTCCAGTGATCTCCATCATTGCTGTAGGCAAGTTTATAGGAACCCACGAACTGTACATGACCAAAATCTTTAGCTCCTTGGGTAATAATGCCAGTCACTTTTGTGGGAACGAGAAGATCAATCTGTAAGTGAAAAGTAAACACAACATGACAGAATTAAAATAGTTGAGTTATTGCATTTTTTAAAAAAATTAGAAATAGTTGCCTGCATGATCAAATCATGAGTGATCTGATATAAAGGAACCAAAAGCACACTGAATGTAATAGGAAAAAATTATCGGTACCTTTGATACCAGTGCAGTCCTGTGCATGTCTACAGAGAAGTAAGTCAGTGAAGTTTACTTGATGGTAAACCTTAGTTTGCAGGCTTGAATACACACATGGGAATAAGTCCCACTGAATTCAGTGGGCATATTCCTGAATAACATGCTTGTCACTTTACAGTTCATACTTCCCAAAAGTCTGAAATCAACAGCTTGAACTGAATTTACAAAAAACTAGGCCCAAACAAAATGTTTTTTCTAATCCTTGATGAGAAACTCCATGAATTGCATTTCTGCCACACTGTGTAGTGTGTAAAATGTTTTACAATGTTTATGTAATTCATTCTGACAAGATGAAGTATTATTCTCATTTTATTGCAGGGATCTCATGGCCAAAAGCCTGCAGAGCAAAGCCACAAGCATACAATGTTTTTCTGCTTTGACTGCAAATGTTTGACTGCAAAGGAAGGGCTCTTCATGTGCTCATAGGTGACAACAGAAACTCAGAATACTGATAGTCTTGTGTACTCTAACAGTGACTAAAGGCACCATCTGCCAACAGTGCCCCCACATTTCAGTATTTCTTATGCAGATACAGAAACTGGTGCACTGAGTATTTGCCTGTTCGGCTTTAACATGAAATCTGACTTGGTTTACTTATCAATGTCAGTTGTCTGTTGATTATGTCATATACTGGAAGATAAAGGAGGAGACTCTTTCATGGATCACTGCCTTGTCGTGGCGAAGGGGCTTGCGTAGCTCAATGAAGCTATGAGCTATGCTGTGAAGGGTCACCCAAGACGGACAGGTCATAGCAGAGAGCTCTGTCAAAATGTGATCCACTGGAGAAGGAAATGGCAACCCACTCCAACATCTTTGCCATGAAAACCCCATGGACAGTACCAAAAGGCAAAACGATATGACGCCAGAAGATGAGCCCCTCAGGTAGGAAGGTGTCCAATATGCTACTGGGGAAGAGCAGAGGGCTAGTACTAGTAGCGCCAGAAAGAATGAAGCGACTGGGTCAAAGCCGAAAGGACACTCAGTTGCAGATGTATCTGGTGGTGAAAGAGTCCGATGCTGTAAAGATCTATACTCCGTAGGAACCTGGAATGTAAGATCCATGAATCAAGGCAAACTGGATGTGGTCAAACAAGAGATAACAAGACTGAACATTGACATCTTAGCAGTGAACTAAAGCAGTGAACTAAAATGGACAGGAATGGGTGGATTTAATTCAGATGACCATCAGGTATACTACTGCGGGCAAGAATCCCTCAGAAGAAATGGAGTACCCTTCACAGTCAATAAAAGAGTAGGAAAAGCAGTACTGGGATACAATCTCCAAAATGACAGAATGATCTCAGTTTGAATCCAGGGCAAACCATTCACCATCACAATAGTCCAAGTCAATGCCCCAACCACTGGTGCTGAAGAGGCTGCAGCTGATCAGTTCTATGAAGGCCTACAACACCTTCTAGAATTAACACCAAAAATGATGTCCTTATCATCATGGAGGATTGGAATGCTAAAGTAGGAAGCCAAAAGTTAATCAGAATAACAGGCAAGTTTGGCCTTGGAGTACAAAATGAAGCAGGGCACAGACTGGTAGAACTTTGTCAAGAGAATATGATAGTCATAGCAACCAACCCAAGAGGTGACTCTACACATGGACATCACCAGACGATCAACACAGAAATCAGATTGACTATGTGCTCTGCAGCCAAAGATAGAGAAGCTCTGTACAGTCAGTAAAAACTAGACCAGGAGCTGACTGTGGCTCAGATCATGAGCTTCCACTTGCAAAATTTAGGCTTAAGTTGAAGAAAGTAGGAAAAAACACTAGGCCACTCAGGTATGACCCAAATCATATCCCTGATGAATATACAGTAGAGGTGACAAATAGATTTAAGGAATTAGATCAGATAGACAGAGTGCCTGAAGAACTATGAATGGAGGCTCGAAACATTGTACAAGAGGCAGCAACTAAAACCATCCCAAAGAAAAAGAAATGCAAGAAAGCAAAATGGCTGTCTGAGAAAGCTTTACAAACAGCTGAGGAAAGAAGGGAAGTGAAAGGCAAGGGAGAAAGAGAAAGATACAAACAGTTGAATGCAGAATTCCAGAGAATAGCTAGAAGAGATAAGAATGCCTTCTTCAATAAACAGTGCAAAGAATTAGAAGAAAACAATAGAACAGGGAGGACCAGAGATCTCTTCAAGAAAATTGGAGATATGAAGGGATATCAAAGATGGACATGATAAAGGACCAAAATGGCAGGGACCTAACAGAGGCAGAAGAGATTAAGAAGAGGTGGCAAGATTACACAGAAGAACTATACAAGAAAGAGCTTAACGTCCCTGATAACCACAATGGGGTGGTCACTGACCTCGAGTCA